ATCAATATATTTAAAGAGCAGGAACATTTTGGTCAGCTTTGTGGAACAAACAGAGTTTAATTTTGGGTCCATTCTCCCCCCCCCCCCCCCCCAATAAGAGCATTAATTCCTGATCATCCTGCCCCAGCCCAGAAGAGAAACTGCTTGTGCCTATGTCATCTTGGCCTATTCAGAACCCTTCACCTTGAAGATGGGCGGCTATGGATTCTCAGGCATTTTTCTATTGTAGATGGTGTTTTTACACATTGGACACTTCCCTGGGCATACCTTGACTGTGGTACAATGAGCATTCTATTTAAGCCTTATTGTAAACATGTCTCCTTTTAATAGACATACCTTTTCCTGAGATTCTTCAGTGTCCCTTTGGACAGGCACATCCTTTTCCTTTGTTCATGTTCTTCACATCCCATCATTGGGTGAGCTGCTGCCTTAAACAATACCCTCATTATCTGGGTGCTTTGTCCACATAGTGTGTATGCCCTCGCCCTTTCTCTCAGAGCCTTACTCCCTGTAAGTATGCTTATGTGTGTGTTCGTGTATGTTGTAACAGTGGGTTCTATGCATACATATATATCTGTGTATATGTGTTTGTGTGTGTGTGTGTGTGTGTGTGTGTGTGTACACGAAATTAGCCCATCCCATGTGTTTTGCAACAGGTTTAGGTTAATGGTTATTTTAAACACCGAAGAGACTGTTAAGTCACCAGTGAGCCTTCTCTTCTTTGACCTTCTTTGTTACTGGCTTTTTTCTTGTTTTAGAAAGTACATGCATTAATTTTTTTTTTTCTGACTGCAATAGTTTTACATGCTTATTGTAGACTATTTGGAAATATAGAAAATTATGGGTGAGAATAAACTTACCCATAATTGCACCATCTATAGTTAACCATTGTTACAACTTTTCTGCCTCTTGACTTATTGTTTTAGGTATTGAGAATGCATGGGTTACTCTATAATTTTTAATTTTTTTTCCCTTTCCTTTTTAGACTTTCAACTCTCCAAGGGCTCCCCATTCCTTTTATGTTGATGGGTCCCAAGTGGGACCAACATAGCACTCCGGTATCTAAAGCTAGATCTGACTTGTATTCTGGGAAGGTTAGCTCACAGCCTCTACATTCTGTATTTTGAACTTCTTAATATGCATTTTCCTGCTCTGAATAAGTGATTTATTTTGTGATCTTTGTTAATACTTCTTTTCAAGCTTGAAACAAAAGAAATTATCTAAAAATAACCAAAGACTGTTATCCAAGACTTTAAAGTAGCATGAGCTAATAGGTTGACACCTTTGATCCTTAGGTAAAAAGTTACAGTTCTTTTGTTGGTTTTCTGCAAAAGGAGGAAGTTGGAGCAAGTTACACGGTTTAATGCTGTTTTATGCATGAAGGAACCTACTTTTGACAGCTAGTAAACAAGTTGCAACATTTTGTGTGTGTGTGTGTGTGTGTGTGTGTGTGTGTGTGTGTAAAGTAGTTTATCTATTTAAAAATTTATTCAATTAATCCCTACTTTGTGGCAGGCACTGTTCTAGACATGGGGATTCAGGGGTAAATAAAACCAACCAAATCCCACCCTTGTGAGAACTTACTACTTCAAAATTAAAGTAGTTGAACTTTTTTACTTTCAACTTAAATTCCCACTTAATTTTCCAAATTTGGTTTCAGTTTTGAAGCATGTGGGGAAAATGCTCTATTATTACAATACTAGAGGTAGAGGCCCAGTGCATGAAAATTCATGCACTGGAGGGGGATCCCTCAACACAGGCTGCCCCTCTCACAGTCCGGGAGCCCTCAAGGGTAGGAGGTAACCTGGAGATCAGGAGAAGGCAATGCACCCAACATACCTCTGCTGCTGCCACTGCTGGCAGCACAAATCTTGGTTACCTGAGCCTTGGGTGGCCCTGGGCAGCTGGGCAGCCACCATCTGAGGCTTGTCTGCACCTTGGGCAGGCCCTGGGCAGCTGGGCAGCTGACATCCAAAGCTTGCCTGTGTGTTGGACTGGCCCTAGGTGGCTGGGGAGCTGAGGGAAGGTCTGGCTACACTGCACACCTGCCACTTCCCTGGCAGGGCTGAGGGTACTGGGTACCGCCATTTTGTGGCTATGGGTGCTGCCATATTTGTGACGGTGTGATGGGCAATTTGCATATTCCCTCTTCATTAGATAGGATTACTATATCAAATATTCTCTCCTTCCAGAGACATCTCTCATTCATTACTCTCCAAGTTCCACGTTTTCAGTTGGCAAACAAATACAGTGGCAAAGACCAATTTTGATGAGTTAAAAGAAATGTCTGATTTTGACATATGTTGTTTTATTGAGCAGGAATATAAGAACACACAAAATGAAATAGAAAGGGAAAGAGTGGATATCTTCTTAACTACTATTTTGAGGAGTAAATGCAGGAGGCAAAAATAGGAGGGGTACTTCACTTTCCTATAGAGCTGACAGTTGTGTATTTGAGATTATGAATTTTGCTACTTAGCTTGAAAAGTAATAGAAAAATAACTATTAGTAGCCAAGCAGAGAAATAATGTGCAGCAGAAAACATAAGCCAAAACTTTGTTAATTTAAACCAATATGTATGCTATGGAGTTTCTACTAGATGTGAGGTCACTGAAGATAGAAAGAAGTATGTAGAAGCTAAGAAGTAGAGCAGAAATTGGTTTTCTCGGTGGTTTTATTACCCACTTGTTTCAGTTTCAGTGTGTTTTCAGTAGTTTGTCAATCAGACATCAAGAGAGATGAATTTTACAGACAGAATTGGACAAGTTTTTATCAGAATCTAGGCTATGCCATAGACACTTAGAGTGTGACATGGAAATATAGAGTTTAAATGGATGCTACATGAGAAATTATCCTGAATTCTTGAGTTTATGTGTAAGAATGGAGTCTTTGTTACTTTTTTTTAAGAGGTTGATGAGAAAAGTATGTGCTATAACTCAACCAAGAAAAGAAGAGTGTGCATTGGAGACAAGAACTTGTGCAGTTAAATAACTCAATCTGTGGAACAGAATGTAACTGCTGAGTAGTGACTGAAGATGCAGACTGTCATCTAGAAGGGTTGACCAAATTATTCACAAATGCTGGAATAGTTGGAAGAAGAAAGGAAAAAAATGGAGGGAATAAATGAAGGACAGAAAGGTGAAAAAAAGCAAGCAAACAAAAGAAGAGTATGATGAATTATATTAAGGCATAATTATGTTGGAGTTTTAATACTAGCTGATCACTAGGGAAAAATGATAGTCTTTAGGTGGAGTTCTGTAATGTACATCTATAATTAGTTGGATATGGGATAATCCAGGAACAAAGAATATAATAAAGTTATGTTTACTAGGAACTATAGGAAATCCTTTCCAGCTTAAGTGATACTTTGTGGAAAAAGATGTAGAGACTCTAAGTTTATCTTTTAATCCAGTTTTTATCCTTATTTTAGCATGGTATACTTAGTTTTAAAAAAGGTAGGCTAAAATCAACCCTTGATTTTGTTTCAAATTCACACTCCACCAGACTCTGTCCCTGTCATATCTAAAAAAAAAAAAAAAAAAAAAAAAAAAAAAAAAAAAAAGCCACAATCTACTTGCTCATTGAAGATTTTCTTTCTTTTGTGAGGTGAGATACAATACTATTTAGAAACCTGTAGAGACATTTTTTAATTACTTATGACCATGAGCATAGTCTTGACATGTCCTCACATTTAGAAAAAGTGTACAAAACACCCAGCATAGTGTGCTGAACCCATGCTTTGTCTAATATTAATTGACTAGAGGCCTGGTGCATGAAATTTGTGCAAGAGTAGGCCTCCCTTCCCCTGGCTGCCAGCACCTGCTTCCCTGTGGCACCCGAGACCCAGGCTTTCCTCGCAGCCCAGGCTTAGTCTGGAAGGTCACCCAGAAGGACATCCAGCCTAATTAGCATATTATGCTTTTATTATTATAGGTGTTGATGAAAGAGCACATGTCACTAACAAGAACCTCCTGCCTAACTTTGGGTCTTCAGAGGCCTGAAGACTAGAATGATGCCATATTGTGGTAATTCCCTATGTTTAGGACAAATGAAGAGAGAGTTTTCCTTTTTAAAAACAGAATCACTGATGAATTTATATATATATATATATATATATATATATATATATATATATATATATATGGTTGATGGGACTGTAGTAAATAAAGCATGTCATCAACCTGGAATACCATGATTTTAATTGGCGACTAGAACATGGGAAAATGAGGAAAGCTGATAAAAGTCCATTTTCCATGCATCAAGAACTGCTGAGGGACAAAGTTAAATAAATAAATTCCCACCTCATGTACCAGAGGAGGAAGAATAGAAGTGTTTCCCACAGTCATCTCCATCTCTGTTAATGGTTTGCCATCCACTCTGCTGTTCAAGTGAAAAACATGACTGTTATTTTGATCCATTTTCTTCCACTCACTCAAAAATACATCCTGAAGCAGCCATGGTTTGATATATATGTTTTATTAGGTTCCCCATAGAGCTGGACACCCTATGTGCTGTTTGAAAGCCTCAATCAGATCAAGTCACTTCTCTATTTAATATCCCCCAATAATCTGCCCACTGCTTTTAGAACACATTCCAACCGCCAAGTCCCTCAAACTTCCAGGCTTCCTTTATTTTGCCTTTCATTATGCTTCAGCCTTCCTGCCTTTCTTCTGTTCCTTAGACTCAAAAGCTCATTCTCACTGTAGGGCCTTTTTACTCATTTTGTGTGTGTGAGTGTGTGTGTGTGTGTGTGTGTGTGTGTGTGTGTGTGTGTGGTGGGGTGGGGCTGTCTCTTTTGCAACAGACAGTTAGCTCAAATATCCTAGCCTTCCCCTGGAGAACCAACCTGATTTGTGAAGGAGCAGGTCCCTGTCTTTGGGTTTAGAACATTTTATTCAAATTAGTCTCTATCCATCTACCCAGTTATACTTTCTTCAGAGTTCTTATCATTTCCTGAAATTATCTAAAACAATAATCTGTCTATATCTGTCTCTCCCCAGAATAATGGAATGAATTTTGGCTCAAGAGGAAAGGACTTGCTTTGTTTTACCCAGAGCTGCAAACTCAGTGCCCAGCAAAGTAGTAGGTGCTCAATAAAGAGCTGTTAAATGGATGAAGAATGAATAAAAAGAATGGGAGTGGGGATGGATTGAGTAATGGGCAGAGGCTTATGCTTTATCCAGTAAATGAAGTAGTTTGTAGAATAAGTCATGTGGATAATATTTCTAACTTTGCCCCAAAATTAACCAAGTTCCTTTCTTCTTTGCATATCAGTTTATTGATGGTCAGTAGGTAGACTAAAAAGAATTTCATGTTACAGGGGGAAAAACAAGCCTGAGATTTAAAAGAAGAAAAAAAAATAGTGTTAGTTAATCCATGGCGTGGGCGAGAGCTCAGCCAGAATGCTCTTTGGAATCCAGACAATTCAGTGACAGTGACACTCTGGTACAAGTGTTGGGCGGGTCAGATGAGATAAGTTTGTGACATGCGCAATCACTCTCCATGGGTTTGATTTTAGACAGTATTTCATGGTGACATTTAAATCTGCATGGGAAATGCTCCCAGTTCCCTGCCTAGCAGGTATAGGATTGCACCTTCAACAAATATGGGTATGTTGTGTCCAGTGTAGTTCTCCAGTATCTTAACAGATGGAGCTTATTTTCTAGGAGAAATAGTGATTTCAAGGCAGGGAAGCTATTTATTTTTACTTTTTAAAAGGAATACCTTTCTGGCAAGAAAGCAAATAAACAAGCAAGCCGACGCCACAGCTTTCTCGGAAGGAGTCAGCGCGGCAGGTACTGGAGAACTCCATTGGCCGGCCTTCGCTTCCTTGTGCTTTTCTCACACTTGCGTTGGCACAGTTGGTGGAGTTTATTATTAGCAGTGTGTCCCACAAGCCATTCATTCACAGAACATGGCCCTGGGAGAGAAATCTCCGTGTGAAAATAAAATTGTCATTGTTTTTCATTTGCGTAAGGGGCATTTCACATAAAGGAAGAACAACCCTATGTAAAAAAGGCCTCAATTCGGAAAACAAAACAGAACAAAAAGCAAAGGTGAGGAGAGAGAGAGACAGATGTTCTCGCTGGAGTCAGATTGGAACTGAAAAATGAAGATTTTGTCTCGTACGAAGCTAGTTGCCTTGCCAGTCTCAAGCTGGCACTGTGGGCCTGCTGGAGCCGCTGAGCCCGGCGGAGGAAAGCAGACAGCGTGCTTCGGGTTTGCTGCTCAGCCTCCCCATGCGTCTCAATATGTTTTTGATTTTGTATTTTAAAAACATGGTGAATGATCTCGAAAGAAAACCATTGCAGGTGATTTTATTCTTTGCTTTTTTCTAAGGGACAATTAAAAGGCAGTCCTGGTCCTATTCCAGAGATTTCCTCATTTCTTAGTACAACTGTAATTTAGGCACATAGAATAGTGCAATGGTATTATTAGATATTATCGTGTTTATTTTATTCATAAAAATGTGTGACACACCTTATTTGTATTCTTTTTGAGGAAATGTCCTGGAGTGGGTTTTGTCCGAGTTCCTTTCTGTGCCTGTCATAAGGTGTGTGTTAGAATGTTAGTTCCTAGGAATAAGAATAGCATTTCTTTTTTTTTGAGAAAGCATAATGATTTCGAGCTTTGAGGAGTTTCAATGGGCTATTGTTACTGTGCTCCAGCCTACCAAATCCCACTGTGACACACTTCCTACCTCCAATGGGAGATATTTATATTTCAAATTAAATAAAACTATAATTAATTTTCTTTGGAAAATTTTTGGGAATGTTGTTTCTTCGAGATCTAGGAGGTAATTGGAGATACCCAGGCTATCACAAAACCAGGGCTGGGGATCCCTGCTTTCATGATTAGCACTTTGTAAGCCTTTGAAAAATATTAAAACCAGGAGAGATTGTCTAATTGCTGGGGGGTGGATTCACGTTAGTATAGTGTAATGTGTTAACAAATACTCAGAAAGGAGGCTGTGGATCCAGGAAGATGGCTTTTGCCCAAATTAATTCAAAGACTAGCAGGAACCATTGTGTATTGGGGCAGAAGGAATAAGGTGACTCAATTAAGCGATAGAGAAATCTCCAGGAAAAAAAAAAATTGTTTTATGTCAACCCAATACTAACAATAAAATTCTCATTACTGAAATCGATAATCCTCTAATAAATGCATAATAACTTCAAAAAGGATTGTAAAGTATTTTTGTATGATTAAATATGCACTAAATATGGAAATCAAATACTGCTTTTCTTTGAGAATGGTAAGGTTCTCTTCTGTGTCTCTGAAGAGTATCTTAAATGAAAAGGATCAAAAGAGCAATTTGAAATAAATTCACTTGCTGAATTTGTGCCTGAACTGACTACATTTCTCTCATTTACTTTTGGTTTTTGCTTAGCTCTAACTAAGGTGACATGGAAAAACTAATGCCACAGTCTCCCGGGTTGCTGGGGGTTTGTACAAGGCAGCAGTGAGCATGTGAGGTGGTGCGTGCCCAGTAGGGGGGGCCTTGCTCAGTAGGGGGTCTTTGGCGTTGGACTTAGCGTGAAGAAAAACTGGGCAGTCTGGCTCACTGGTACCACTAGCCTGTTGCTATTTCATGTATCCAGGAAAACAATCTGATCCCTCTCTACATTCGAACTTGAGCCCAACAACTAATAGTGGTGGTTTGAGTGAGTTCAGAATCCACCTATTTGATACGAAAACCTACATTGGCTCTGTGACTCTCAGAAATAGTCAGGACATTTTAGTGGTATTCAGAGATACACAGTTCATAGACCTCCAGCTGTGTCTGCAGTTTGCAAAGCAAAGTAAGTAAACAGGTAGACTGAGAGAGGATATGCAACCCTGAACACACTTCTGCTTTGTCTTTTGGCAGAGATGTCTGGTTTGGGCTTCCGGAGTTTCTTGCCTGGTGTTCTGCAGGAAAAGTCGCATTCCAGGAGATAGGCTGGCCTGTCATGCTGCTTCTGAAATGTCTAGAGGTGCTCCGACATCTAGAGGTTTCCTTCCCCAGCCTGTTTTCCTGAGATAATCCCCACCACCTGGTTGATAACACCGGTCACATCAGTTTAACACTTTGGTAGTCTTAGCTTCATTCTCCCTGTAACTTTTTTGAGAAAGAGAAGTCCCTATTTCCTTTAAAAGAGGGCATATGTCAATAAAGCTGAGAGAGAGAGAAGGTGGGAAAGAGAGAGAGAGAGAGGAGAGAGAGAGACAGAGAGACAGAGACAGAGACAGAGACAGAGAGAGACAGAGACAGAGAGAGAGAAGAGAGACAGAGAGAGAGACAGAGACAGAGAGAGACAGAGAGAGAGAGAGAGAGAGAGAGAGAGAGACAGAGAGAGTGAGAGAGAGAAGAGAAGAGAAAAGGAGAGAAAAGGAGAGGAGAGGAGAGGAGAGGAGAGGAGAGGAGAGGAGAGGAGAGGAGAGGAAGAGAAGAGAGGACATCTAACAATACAGAAAGGGACCCCTTTCATTTTGAACCTCTCCTTATCTTTACCATCTCCACTTGTATTTGTACCTGTAGGTCTAGATTCTAGACGTACAGGTACAAATACAAGTGGAGACCAACTTCAGAACCACAATAATGCTATGGTCCTGAAGGTCCCAGCCTCTGGATACTTTTCTCTCTCTCTCTCTCTCTCTCTCTCTCTCTCTCTCTCTCTCTCTCTCTCTCTCTCTCTCTCTCTCTCTGCTGTTTGACTTTCATTTGTGTGGTTTACCTCTTAGCTCTCTTTTATTTTTGTATTTATATCTTTTATTTTTATTTTTATATCTTATATTTTAGGATTTGGGGTGCAAGATACATTGCAAACTTGAGGGAGAACAAAACTAGATAGGCTCATGAAAATAGCCACTTCCTTCCTAGTGCAGAAATACTCGGAAGGGGAGCAATGAACTTCTGGGTGGCTCCCAGTCTGCTCTGGGCTACTTAGGCTCTTAGTGTGTGGCTCAGTTCACTGGCACGAGAAGCCAGTGGTTCCAAGATGAAGGTTTGAGCCTCACTTGGGCCGGGTTGCCGCATATGTTTCCAACAGTCTGTAGGGGGATTCCATGCAGCCCCCATGGGAATTCTAGTGTTTAAGGGGACTGGTGAACATGTAAGTAACAAGGTTAGAATCCAGCCCATTCCTGGAAAAACAAAGCCTGTGGCCTCAGGTCAATTTCTGCAATTGGACAGAACACACTGCCACTTACAAGTAAGCTTGTTTCTCAACCTCCCTGCATCTCTGTTTCCTCATCTGTAGAAAGAAGATAAGATTTGCTCCCTTTCTACCTCCCCAGGATCTGTGAAGATTAGATAATGGTTGTAAAGTCCTTGTACAAAGGTAAAAGCATTATCATTAAGAAGGAGATTAGTCAACAAATAAAAAGGAAAATATTGGAAGGACCTCCCAAAGAGCATTGCCTAAACATTTTCGAACCCGTATCAGCCCTGTGCAGTCTCATCCATTCCGAGTTCGGTTCAGTTATATAAAAAAAAAGTTAGATGTGAATCTTTGACCTTTCCATTTGTTTATAAGGTTAAAAAAATGGTTTGATAGCAAACATTTGTGTTAATAAAAACAAAGTGGGCTTTGCATCTGAAACAGGTTTTATTTGAAAAAGGAGGCGAAGCAGTAGGTCTCCAGGAACATATGGGCCACTGAGGAATATTTGCATGTATTTGATCTGCACGCATGCTTCGGTGATTTTCACAGTATACCTCGGCGTTTAAGTCACAGCACCGCAGCCTAGTCCGCTCTCCCCAGCTTGATTATGGCACACAGCGACAGCTTCATTTTTAGCATTTAAAAAAAAAAGAAAAGAAAAAAAAAATCCTCTTCACTTAATTCAGACAGTGACCTGCAGGCCTCATTCTGACTGAAGGAGCCATTCAGAATACTTGCAGACAAAAGCAGGGCTTTTTCCTAGCAACCAGATCAAAGCCAAATCTCCCAGAATAGCTCCCTCCCAGGTTTCCTTTGGCGCATAGGTTCACAAGGATTCTCAGGCCTGTGGTATCCAGTTCAAACTCCCCTTTCAAAACTGAAATGGCAAGGAAAGCGGAGGAATTTTTGCAGTCTGAACACTGGTGAGCATTGGAGAAGCACTTAATCTTGGGAGAACACGGTGGTCATTTGGAGCATCCCTAACTTTATTATCGCCTGCATCTGCGTGTCCATTCTGTTGGACTCCCACAGAATGAGGTCTCTGTTTCCTCTCTGCCAGTACCTAATATCAGCTATGCCCAGGAGCCGGCTGATGAAGACTTCCTGTTTGTTTTGAGTCACTGTGAGAGTGATAAATATACTTCAGCTTTCTGCTTCGAGAGGAAAGAAACCAGCTGCCCTGAACCAAAGGAAAAAAAAAATGCAGAAATTCCACTGAATGGCCCTGTTATCATAGAGTTTCAAGGGCAGCATCAAAATGAAAACTATAAGCCAGGACAAAGTAAATAATTTCCATATTAAAGCGTCTTGCTGCATGCAGAGGCCTAAGTTGTTTGTCTTTAATCATTTAGGCGAACCATGCATTTTTCACTCTTCTAAGGCTACCTCGGGAATGTTTAGAATTTTTTTTTTAAAAATGTGAACTTACACTACAGGGTAATGGTGAGCTATATAAATAAACAATTACAGTTGTGGTTTTTTGATCTGACCACAAGCTTCTAATGCCACTTTTACATGAACATATGATGCTTCTGGAAAAAAAAAAAACAACCAGTACTGTTTACACTGTCAGTGGCATCCAACATTGCATTGAGTCATTTACATACGTGATTATTTGGATATAGACTAGTCTGGGAATAAAAGAATACCATACAATTATTTAAAACAAGAACAACAGGCAGCCCTTGATAGCTTAAATAGTCCTTAAATAAAGCTGTGGGGTTTTGTGTTTCATCTCATTTTTGTCCTTTTATTTTGAACAGGTTTTTAACTTGTGTGGAAATTCCATCTTTACTTTGACCTGCAGAACAGTGAATGTAGGAAGCCTGTTGATCTGAATGTCTTGATCACTGTATTCTGGCTCCTGTCTTTTTTTTATTTATTTTTTTTACGTTGAGTGTAGGCTTGACTTCCAGAGGTCATAAGTTGAAAAGGATGGCAGCAAGTTGATTGTGCTTGGAGTGGGTATGAATTACAATACTTATTTCCTCCCAATACCTATAGTGTTTTAAAGCAATTTATAATAGTAGAAGGAGAAAAATTTACTAATAATCTCCAGTAGAAATTTTGTTCAAGTAAAAGAAATGTCTAATAAGCAGGTTCAAAATAAAGTTATCAATAACACTTTTAATTTGCCAAATTATTGATGTCGATATGGAGACAGGATGCTTTGTGTGTTGGCCTTCTGACAACTTACCTGGTCATTTTTATAAACTCAGACAAGTGCACATGAATGGTTGTGTATAAAGTTTTTCCAACATCTTAGAGTCAATAACTGGAACATGGTGAATTCCTGAGAGGGAATTACAGTGCTAAAGGCTTGTTGGAGACTGGGCCCTTACTGTTTAAAAGCTCACATTAAACACATGCATGTGACACTGGCAACTTTTCAGGAGGCTAGGCATTTAGAAATGTTCAGCACATTAGTTAAAACAAAGCCAAATATAGTAAATACATGTTTTACTTCATAAATATGTTGTGATCTGTGTCTTTTTTACATTCGAACTTTGCTGACATGAGGAAGAGGAGAGAAAAGCATTTTTAAGCATGATTAAGGATGGAAGGATCAAACGGCTAAATAGTATAGCTTCTGTCATGATGGATGACCTTAGAAAAAATAGAATCAGAGAATGGATGTTATTAGGAGAGGAAAAAGACAGTGAAGCCAGCATTTCCTACATTCTTTCAGGTAGGAAAGAAGGATATAATATAAACTTAAGAGATGAACGTTATTTGCTAAGATAAGTATAGTGGGACAATTTTAGTGGGTATATTGGCCTCTGTACATTAAAAAATGAGGTTAAATTTGATAGAAATACATGAGATGGGGGTTTAGGTGAGGGTTTTTTTTTTTTTTTGTAAAACCTATCATTTAAAATAAATCCTAACTCAATTGGGTGGGACCTATCACTTACCAAATATAAAAAGGCGTGAAAAAACCGCCCATTACCTTTTCAGTGCTATCGAATGTCAAATATTTCGTGTTGAAGTGAAACTATTATGGTAACATTCTACAAATATAAAGCCACCATCCTTCTCAGCAATAGCCTTTGCTTAGTAGGTTCAAAACTGGCTGTGGTTGGGATGGCACACTTGTGATCTAGCCTTAGGAATGATGGATTTGTAGGAATTCCACCTAACCAACATCCATTTCTCTTTTTCCTATCCTTTCCTTTCCTTTCCTTTCCTTTCCTTTCCTTTCCTTTCCTTTCCTTTCCTTTCCTTTCCTTTCCTTTCCTTTCCTTTCCTTTCCTTTCCTTTCCTTTCTTTCCTTTCCTTTCCTTTCCTTTCCTTTCCCTTTCCTATTCCTTCCTTTCTTCCTTCCTTCTGTCCTTTCCTGTCTTGTTCTGTCCTTTCTCTTCTTTCTTTCTTTCTTTCTTTCTTTCTTTCTTTTTTCCTTTCTTTCTTTCTTTCTTTTCTTTCTTTCTTTCTTTCTTTCTTCCTTCCTTCCTTCCTTCCTTCCTTCCTTCCTTCCTTCCTTCCTTCCTTCCTTCCTTCCTTCCTTCCTCCCTCCCTCCTTACCCAAGGATATTTTCCCATTGATCTTTAGGGAGAGTGGAAAAGAGAGGGAAAGACAGAGAGAAACATCAATGTGAGAGAAACACATCGGCTGGCTGCCCGCCCTGCACATGCCCCAACCAGGATCCAGGCAGAGGTATGTGCTCTTTACTGGAATTGAACCCGGGACCCTTTGATTCACAGGCTGATGCTCTATCCACTAAGCCAAAATAGCTAGGGCCCAACATCCATTTCTCATGATTGAATAAGAACACAGGAATCACAGCCTAGATTTGCGTATCACACTACAATTTACACGATGCGTTCGCTTGCAACATCTCCCATGTTGTCTCCCATGTTACTTGTCTCTGGTTCTGACCGTAAATGGGAACAGGAACAGCTTGTCTGTCTT